TACAGTATATATGTTTATGATTTAATGCATACCCCGTATTTATGTGTTTATAATACGCGCTCACACATTCAAACAGGTATGCAGATGATAATGACCGCATGACGGCGGCAATGATAAGCTTATTATCGGCCGCAGTGCTCGTCGGCTGACCTCCGTGGAAGAGCTGGTTAGAGGTGGTTTGCGTATGCACCTAGAGATACGACCTAAATAATTTGACGCGAGACCAGTTCTCGTCAAAGACCCGGCATCGTGTAGCTAGGCGACAGCGGTATACTATAATATAGAGGTATTACACTATACCACGTTGGTACAGAGAACTTAAGAGTATATGTACGTGTAAATATTATAATGGGAGACGACGACAGCGTGGCCGGTCGATAATTTATCATGATTATTATAGCTATATACACGCGTTATATTATGCATAATCTTGCGCGTTAAATTCTATTCACAATATTACCACAATCCGGTTTTCGCGCACTGATCGAAAAAATCATTCCACTCATTCCTAACGGAATTATGTACGTGTACGTCGCGCAGGAAATCGTATAACAATTATTTTACCTACTTCTATGTACCTACCTACTTATGTACATATTTTTATGAACGGAGATTCACGTTATATGTGGTGATTATATGAGACGTTATATGTATCAATTTCGAAAAATCGCATTATTAAATCGCATGTTACTTTGACTTTTGTACCAGTTCCTGTTTATTTGTTTTATTTATCATTCACACTCAGTTTCAGGTTAGAGGGAGGAGAAAAGGGGGCAGCTGCCTCGGGCGGAAAAATTTTAGGGGTGGACATTTTTTAACGGCGTCAACAAAAGTTTTGAAATTTTCTAATGTATATACTAGTTTTTAGGAAAAATTATTAATTTACTATTGAAAAATATTAATAACAATAATATAATATTATAATATTATAATATAATATATATATATTATAATTACAATAGTTATTTTACATTATATTAAACCGCTAAGTTATTTCGCCTGTGGACGTTAGGCATATATAAAGGGTAAAACCATATTATTATTTAGCGCTCGGACCTATGCATTTTTATTTTTGTTATACTGACATAAAATTGTGTTTATTGTATTTCTTATATATCTCTATGTGTGTACTATAATTTATAACCATCAGATTATTAAATTTGATATTAATAGTTTCAAATAATTTATTTACACACTACAAAGCAATTGTTTTTGTTCTCTTTCTCTCTCTCTCTCTCTTTCGAGTCTCGTGGTCATATTTGTCGTCGTTGTTGAGTTCGATTCACGAATCACGATTGACTGGAAAACAAACATGCCTAATATTTTATTTTCAATCAATATGAGTGGAAAGCGCATACAAATGCATATATTGAAATAAATGAGTTGTTTGGGTTTTTTTTAAATGTGGAAGGAATTGACGATGATATTTTACGAGAAAAATCAAAGCAATTAGTAAATATTTATAGTGTTTATAACAAGAACTTGAATATCAGATTATACAATTTAAAACAATAATGAAGTATTTTTCAGAAGATGAAAAATTATCTATGCACAGTTTTCTTGAAGTATTAACAGTATCAAAGTTAAACGATTAATTTCCTATTGTGGAAATAGCTTTACAACTTTTTATATTTATACCATGATCAAATGCTAGCGGAAAAATATCCTTTTCAGTTTTAAAAACAGTCAAGAACTACCAGAAAACACAATTATCTAATAAAAATATGTCATAGTTGTCTCTAATATCTATTGTAAATATTTTCCTAAAAAAATAGGTTGGAATGATATTATTAAAGAGTTTGCTGCACAGAAAGCTAAAAAATAGTTGTAAATGTCTTATATTGAATAAATTTGTATTAAAATGTTTATATTTAGTACCTAATAAGGTCTATAAATTTATAAATTACCGGTGTTACAATATATTTATAAATATAAATTAATTAAACAATTTTAACTATATTGTTACTTGTTGTATAGATATATAAATATATACATGTATTATACATATATATATATATATATATATATAATTTTTTGTTTGTGGAGGAGGTTGAAGGGCGGAATTTTAAAATCTGCCCCCATGCGGTAAATTGTTAATCCGGCTAATAATCATACACGCTTAATCACACTGTCACATATTGCTGACAATCTCATTTCGCTGTGTATATACTCCAAGAGTTGGTATATGATCAAAGTGGTGTGTACACCGTATAACTGTCGTCGACGCGTATTTGCTACACAGATCTTCATTATATTATGCACATAATTATGTCGGGATAAATATTTGTCATAATATGTCGATCGGCTGTTATTAAACTCATTACGTTTGTCGCGGAAATTATAACAATTAAATAAATGAAAACCATGATTCTTTAAATACCTACGTCATGTCTCAATATTGAAATACAAAAAAAAAAAAACACTTGTTGATAATGTTGAGTATATGTTCTAAGGGATGCATAAGTGATATATATATTATATATATATATCACTTATGCATCCCTTATATAAAGTAAATATCATAAATCTTATTCTTATGTATGAGTTCCTATATCCATATGTGGGTACCACAATTAAACATAATTATATCATTAAAACGTAAAAATTGAAATTGACATTAAAAGTCTGACTTAAACCCAAATACTACAAAGTTAGTAATAACAGAAATACTAAAATATATAATACATTAAATAATACGGAATATATATGCTTGTATTGGAAATCGACACAATTTTCTTACATCAGATGATAAATTTTCTAATATTTTTTTTGAGAAAATTAAGAAAAACAGTGAAATATCCGTGAAGAAATGAAAGTAAACAACCGGTTAGAATAACGTCCCCACCGCTTTTGAAAATTAAACCGAACTCCGTTCAGAATCGTTTTTCATATGGGTTAATAACTATCAAGATTAAATTTAAAATAATAATATATTTACCACTGTCTTGCGTGCACTCGTATGTGAGCAAGTTTATACCAATGTCTTCTACAAAATTCTTTCAAGTTCACTTTTTGAATAATGTTCTTGTATTTTTAAAATATATTATGAAAATTATAATTATTTCTAATTGCATTAATGTTTCAAAATACTATTTAGATGAACAGATATATTACTTAGTATTGCGTCGTTTATTTGATCAAACCCAAAAATTGAACTTATATATGAAGCTCCTGTATTTTTAAATATTTTATATGTATCTTGTATATTAAAAGTAAATATGATTTCAGAAATAATTGATTGGCCAGTGGATATATTTCTGTGTATAAAATCAAAATCGACCGTATGGATTTTCTGTCAATCAAACTTTACATGATAATTATACAAATTATATTTATACAAGCTATTGAAAACGTCAAAGTTGTTTAAATCTAACATATGTATAACCATAGAAAATTTACATAACCTTATGACCTGTAAAGTATAAGTAATTTGACTATAATATGATTTATGTAGTAATTATTACAATGTTAAAATAGAAACAGGTGTTCGTAAAATTCACATAAATAATTTGCATTCGTGAATAATCGAATAGAATATAATTTTAACGAGACTCGATTGCGGATCATAAGTTTTTTTCACATTCAAAAGTGAAATAGAAAAAAAATCAAATAATTGGTATGCAGACGGCTGGTTGAGTTATGTATTTTTTTTCCCCTGAATAAACCGTTCAGAGCTCTCACGATTACTGAATGCGGAGCGACGAATTTTTCTTCTTTTTTTTTTTAAATCTACTGACCACTGCGCGTGGTGGGCTACCTGATGACAATATCTCGAGTCCGTCCCGTCGCTGTGTGATAAAAATCATGACGTAAAATACGACGGACGTCAAGGAGATCGACGAAAAAAACGGATATCATATAATTGTATTATTATCGCAATTAATATTTAGTAGGTCATTTAATACGCGAACACTGGCCGTGTGTCACGAATCTGCATCGGTGGCGTATTTGAACAACACGACCTAGACATACTGCAGTTTCTGTTTTTCACATGTGTCAAACGATATTATCATGAATGTTTTTATTACATTTGCATGCACGCGTTCCTTAGAAGGTCAAAACAACGCGGTGACGACGATTCGGATGATCATGTGGCGACCGTGTGAAAATATGTGAGATTTTAGATTATAGATTACCTACGATGAGCGAAGAATAATCGAGCATGCGTACCCATGTTATAAAGCGATCACCATCATCATTATCATTGTGAAACGCATTGGTCAGATTTTCGACAAAAATAATGATCGAAATAATGTATACGACGCAGTAACTCGAATACAATATTACATGTTTGTATTGATGCACGCGCTTGGCTTTCATCACACCAAAAGACGAAAGCCATACACGCAGAATGCAATAAAAATTACTATAATAATACATAGTAGACGGATCGGGGCTATGGACCTCTTGTCGATCTCAACGTAGGTATACCTGGATATTATATATTATGAGTTTATGATGAATTCAGATTTCCAGCACGCGGCGGTTAATCGCCACAGTCGTTTTTACGGTCGATTTGGGTCGCCGCAGCCGTCAAGAGGTATTTTATTATATTGTAGTACTTGTTACCTGCACGCATAATACATATCTTGTGCACCACGCGATATAATATAATATTAATAGCAAAATAATAATACCGATTCGTATTTATTCACATCATTGACGGGCACGGAATCAACAACAAAAGTTATACATGTATATATACTATCCAATATTTTTATAATTCGTCTGTAATTGTGATTTATTATTATTAATTACTGTATATTGTATAGTAGCCGTTTTTATTTACATTCGCATGTCATGTCAGTCCACACAATGCATCTTAATTATCGATTGTAATAATCATCTCTGTCTCATAACCATTGCGCAATGCAGTGCTTAGGTTACTTAAAACACTGGCACCGACGAAAAACGTATCACAGTAAAAATGATACATATCAATTTTAAAAATACCTACTTATGAAATATGTCGAAATCCGATTATATTTTATATTACATACCCGTCGTCTTGGAATAAATTGTATTTTATTATTTTGTTTCCGTTTTCAAAAGTGAAATATTACACTGCTCCGGGCGAAAGTTTGCATTGATTGATTGAGATGACTGGGTTTTTTTTTTTGTATAATTCCGTTTATGTACATCCATAGATTATATTATACGTCATATATTCTTTTTCGTTGAGTACGAAAACAACATATCTTATTCCATTAAAAAAAAAAACGTGCGTTAAAATTACTTAGCATATTAAATATTTTAATGTCAATTTGAAAAATTATACAACATTTTAGCGAGAAATTAATTTATATTATCATCTAGTTTTAGTAGTTAATGTCAGCCCACAAAATGTTAGTTTATCAGTTATTGCAGTATACAAAAAGTACATAAAAGTTAGATATATTAATGTATAAAAAACTAAAACCTGCATATTTTATTAATATTAGGTAGTTAGATATTTATTGAAGGATCTATATTTTTTTATATTTATTTAAAACAATGTAAGTATACAGTGGTGTACATATGAATGGCGGGGGGGGGGGGGGGGTACGGGTTCAAACCCCCTCCCAGGGCCAAAAAAAAAGAAAATTGTTTTATTATTGATGACATGTAATATATTCCTGGTTTCATTATTATTCATTATACTAAGTAACGTACAGGTACAAATAGGTTCATCACTATAGTTAAATATAATTAGTGTTTAAGTTTCTAGTTTGATTTTAAATTAAAACAATTTTTCTAGTTTATTTTGTATTATATATTCTTTATTTAGAGATCTTATTCTATAGTAGAGATAAATTAAATTTAAGGATACGAGTGTTTCGGTAGTGAGCACCTATTTTTCCACTTCAGAAACTAAAAAAGTAAACAATAATAATATGAATCAATAGCTCAATAGGTGTTTTTTTTTTTAATTTAATTTTTGGTGACTGACAATATACTGTACAAGGTTAAAACAAAAAATGACATAGAATTTTTAAAAACTTCCTTAGTAAATTACTAAAAAAATACTCCCTGTAGGTAAGTTATTTGTACTACTTCCGAGTTATCAAAATTCCTACTCGTGCTATTTTGGTAAGTATTTATTAAATAAATCTTATTATGATTAAATTTAATAAAAATAGAATTCTCACTGTATGAAGAATATTAAAAAGAATTTGTTATTGTTAATCAAATGAAAAAAATATTAGAAAACAGCAAATGTAGAGGTGCGAGATAAGAGACAATAAGTTAATACCTATGGAATTGTGGTAGGGAAAATTCAAATCAAAATAAGCATTGATCAGGCTAGACGCCATTTGAAGGAGGCAAGATGGAGTATATAATCCACCTTAGAAAAACAAACTAATTATTAAGATACTATATTTTCATGAAAGAGTTATGTTATATAAACTGTCAAAATATCATTATATTTTTTGAAAGCAAAAATATATTGTTTACTCGACTAGATTTTATGTATTAGAATATTAGATGCCCATTGTTCGGCTTCTATTAGTATTTAGTTTATGGTAAAGGTTTAAGTATGTATACATGGATAGGAATACACCGATTTACTAATTACAAAATATATTGTACGGAAAAATATTAAAATGCAACCTATAGAGAATTTATGGTCAGTCTTAATAAGTTTAAATTAGAGATGAAAATATTTGGCAGGCAATACTATAGGTGGTAGTATGTAGGTAGTATAACTAGTATAATTTCGTTTAGATTTGAGATAATATTCAAAACAAACGTAAAGAAATTTGCCATTGAAATTGTCCGAGAAGAAATAACGGTTAAAAATATATCTTTGGGTCAAGTAAACACTGAAGTTCGTCACCGAATTGATCGTTTAAACACGAATAAACGTTTACTTTGGGTGTTCAAAGTTGAAACGAATAATTAGTTTAAAAAACTATCGCGTCGTGTTTCGACGTCTACATTATAAATACCGTCTGAGTTTATTACTACAGAAGTTATATATATATACTATAGAGTTTATTACTATAGAAAAAAAATGCTTTACATACTTCAAAAACGTGTCGTTAGTATCTTAATGTAGTGTGTATGTGATGTTGTCGCGATTTATATATGAATTTCGATTTTTAAGAGAATGCGTGGTCCGTATAACCTTTAATCGTATTTTACACGGCACGTTTTGTCCGACGGTTTTCTTGTGCTTCTAGTGCGACGATTTCGATCAGTTTTCGAAAAAAAAAAAACGCGTACCGGAAGAGAACTCGATTGTCGATTTACCACGGAAACGTCCGATGGTTTCGCACGTGTATACGACTGACGTGTTGAACTGACTGACCAAACGGTGCGCGCGCGACCGGCCAAGCGCATTCACGCGACATGTAACGGGTTTTCTCTTCCACCAACTTGCGTGTCGCACGCCGGTACGTGTTCGACGTCTAAACTTGTTGCTTTTACACTGGGCGAATCATGCATCTAAAATAGAAATAATATACACAAGGCACCAGTAAAACGACTATCGCAGGGCTTAAGATTTTTCAATTCCTTGAATTGCCTACTATAAATTTTTTTTCAATAAATGTTTGTCTCTTGGTGTAGTCCTTGCCGTACCTCTGCAATTAAAGATTGCTCTTGAGATTGAGTTTTGCAGTTGAAGATCCTAGTATATATCTTTTCAATCGATTTAAATACATCGGAGAATTGATGTAGATTTGTCCGTGCGCGTATAGTATAGACCAGCGGTCAACCAACTTTTTGAAACTCACGGACCACTAAATACATATTCTAAATTCTAAAGACCACTTTTAGCTTAAAATAGCTTTTTACATAAATACCGTTAAATAAATCGATGAGGTATTTTTTTTCGGTCATATTTAACTTGTTATTTTCATTGTTTACTGCAATGGATCTATTATCCACATAATACCATGTCTACGGTCTTATTTTTTTGGGAAATAACGACAAAAATATTCTGTAAGTACCTAACGTTCAAATTTTTCTGCGGACCATTTAAATTTTTTCGTGAACCACCGGTTGGCGATCGCTGGTATAGGCAATGGTCTACGATATTTGTTCACATGAGTACCTAATAGTTTTTGTGATCCCAACGAATACAAAGATTTGTTAACACATTTTTGAGTTTTGTTTAGTACACACTTTACTCATTGCATCACATTTTAAATGCATCGAATTACACTCGATTTTAGACCTTGGTCTCACGGCGGGTTGTAATTCAAAATCCGAAAATTTGTATTATCCTCTCAAAGCAGTATTCGATTACTGATCTCTCGCTTCGTAATAATTCGAGAAGACCACATCATCTTGTAGTATGTTGATGCATACATATCCTATGTTTTTGCATCACTCATAGACCGATGCTCAACACGGTTTTCGAATCTACCTGGGCAATCGCAGTACACTTGTTGGTAGATGAGTGGATAGTAATAAGCCATATTTTTTATGCTTTGTAAACTTTTTGAGATTATTTCATATTTTTATACTTATTTTTATTGATTGTTGCGGTCGATAAAAGTAAAAACAGAATACACATTATACGAAAACATTGTTGAAATAAACTGAAATGTGAAATTGGTTTAATTAGTTATAATATAATAGTTATCCCAGTATAACAGTGATTTATAATTAGGCACATGCGTATTATAATTTTAAGAAAACATTTTATTATTTTACACGATTCAACTAATATAAAATGTATTTCGTAAAAACCGAGAATTATAATATATCATGCAATATGTTTTATCCATAAATATTTAAATGTTGAATATACAAACTTAAAATCTATAAAAATTGTAAGTCAATGCTGTTTATATTTAATGTACGAGAAAAGTATAAACATTTAAGAAAAACACCCCAAAATTAAACATGATCAACTTGGTAACAACAGCATCAGGATACCTTGGGGGCTCTAACCGGTTTGAAGAAATGCGGGTGGTATATCATGGTAGGTCATCAAGACATCAGGAGAGGTCATAATGATGTTGGTCGTGTATTAAACGACCAGCCGATAGCTAAGACTTGTTCTACAAAGTAAACGACTTCAATAGATTGTAGGTACATATTTATACTCAGCTCACATAGCAACGCGTCACTAAATTATGGCATCATGAAAACAGGTTGTGAATAGGATATTTTAAGAAGTGTAGTCTTCAAATTAATATATCTATATTATTTTTGTTTTTACTGTTAGTTGAATTCGTATTTAAAAATTTCAGCCATACTCAATTTTTAACAATATTAACCTTTAAAAATCTCATTCATTATAATTTAATAAGTATGGCAGCAAAAATAATCAATTTCAAAATGATAACTTACATATTATTAACTAGAAAATACAATTTTAATTTAGAATTTGTTAGTAAATAATATATTTCTGACTTGAACAATCTATTCTAGAGAATGATTTTTTTTCATTATAAATGTATGTATTTAATTTGAGGTTTTACGTGTTTTATATAATTATTTTTAAATTTTTAATTTTCAATTTAAAAAGCGTTCCAATTTTTGTTTTCAGATTTTTTCATGTTTTAATTTATGTTTTTAATGTTTTTTTTTATCTTGATTTATATAAATTCGAATAAAGTTTAATTAAGTATAAAAATATAGTGCATGCTTCTTTTTTCTAAGATAACCTAAATATTATTATGATAATATAAGTCGTAATTATATCAGAATAAAATACATCAAGCTTCTCGTATGTTTAAATTACATAATAAGTAAAAGTAAGAATCGTGTTTGTAATTTTAAACCTTAAAATCGTTTTGATTATTTTAATACATAAGATAAGAATTCACTGGGACATCAGTGATGATGATATTTTTTGCAGAACGGAAGTGAAATAACCAAATATTCTCATTCTGTTTTGATACCGACATAATGCTGGTGACCAAGAAATTTAAAAGGTAATTTTTTCGGAAAAGCTTACACAATGTTTATTGTGCTGAATGGATGTACGTGTGGGACACAGAAGAGTTTAACGTTTCCAGAATAATCTTAAGCCTTTCCTACCGTAGAAATGAATACATAAGGCAATTAAAACATATTTTATATGTACCTATGCACATTTTTTTTTTTTTTTTATAGTCAGTCGGCTAAATGAACTTGGTTGCTCTACTATAAAAATTACTTCTCTATATCCCTGGTCCAACGAGATGTATGCAATGGATGGAAGACGAAACCTCCACATTCTTATTGATCTTTAGCCTTTTGGATTCAACCTCTATGCATTTGAATGATCTTATTTACTTTTACGGTCTATCGTGATTTCCTAGTGTGGTATAACCATATGACGTGTAAATACGTATATATCGCGACGGATGACGAGTGTTCGAACATAGCGTTCGAGATTAGACAATTTCCGAGGAAAATCTGTCGTTTTCCATTGCGCTTCGCAGGTAAAAAGCAAAAGAACGGGTTAAGAAACGTATATTAAACGTGGACGCGAAGAAATTTTTTTATCGAAATGAGTCTTAACATCTAACTTTTATTGAAATGTAAAATTAGAAATAAAAAATTTAGAAATTATTTTCTAAGTCGGTTAAGGAATTAAAATAAGAATATAGTATTACATTTTTCGTTATTCATTGTACGTTTGTGTATGCAAAATTAAATTTTATAAATATGATTATGAATTTTTGTTTCACTTTTTTTTACCTCTGAATGCAGATCATCGATTTGCAAACACACTAACCTTTAGTTGATGATAAAGATCAATGAATAAAAATTAACAGTTAATATTGATGTTGGTACGTGCTTGTAAAAAATGGTGGAATCGATTTTTTGCTCAAAAAATACTAGAAAAAAATCATGTTTTTTTTAGAAATTGCAAATATTATAAAAAAGTAATCTTATATACAAATCTGTATATCTATGATAGTTTGCATTTTTTTAAGATTTAAAACTATGTGTGAGAGTGATGAACTTTTAACGACAAAATACGAATAAAGAAATGTAATTTTATCAATAATTTGATTTAATATAAATCGCAGTGAATAATAATAATAGTACAACGTTTTGATGAGTATTTCAACTCATTGTCGAAATATTGCACGCAAATAAAGTAGTAAATTCCTAGCTTTCTAATTACGATTCCAGGTAAAATCTCGGCACTGGGTAACTCTTACGCCCACAAAATTACTAACTACAAAAAATATTATCTCAACGGAACAATAGCTAAACTAGTTTTTGAGGAGTAGAGGAGGTATAAGACGCTTATGACAACGGTTTTTCGTTCAAATGTTCGTGTAGTAGCGGTAGAAGTTATAATAGTAATTATTAGGGTACTCGTTACTGTATTCACGTGATGTAACACAAACGAACATGGCATGTCCACTGGACCATCCAACCAAATATTATATATATAGTTAAATTTATGTTAAAAAATATATTGAGACCGAAGTTCAATATATTTTACCTTCCAAAGACGACTTGATGTACGTTGGTTGATCCTCAAAATTATTTCGAGACATTTTATTTTTTTATGTTAATAAATCACAATAAAGTAAAAGATAATATAATGGAGAAATATGAATTCTGAGAAAATATATTTTTTTGTAGCGTATTGATTTCATGGTTAAAATTAAGATTAAAAGAAATCATTCGAATTAATTATCATTACACAGTTGCAGACATATAAGTACAATATATTATACAAAACCAATAAATTAAAAGTATAATAATAGCACTTGGCAAGATTAATTCTGTAATTAGTGCAACGCCGTGTCCACACATTGACGCCAATGTCGGTGCCAATCAAGGGCGCAACTAGAGCCCAAACATTGGGTGTGCTGAAATTTCTGAAAATGAAATAAAATGGTATTAAACTGTAATTACTATAGATTATATAGATCAGAAAAAAAAACAGAAGTGCTACTTTTGAACTCAGGAGTGTTAAAACCCTATTTCGCCCCCCCCTAATTGCACCTATGGTACCAATAGTGTTCGTTCAGTATGTGGATCGATCAAATAGTATTGTAGCCAATATTGGCAACAATGTTGAAACATATCAGTCCGCAAATAATCAGTTTATTTTCAGTTTTTTCAACTAAGAAGTGTACAATATTTTTATACTTAGAGAACACTGATTACGTTTATACGAATAAATTCTAAATAACGCGATAAATAAAAATGCTAAAAAAACAATTATATTTATCATTCTAGATACTCGATAATTCGTTAAAAAGTATAATTTACAACTCGTTTGGAATAAAAGTAGGTATACATAATTGATTTTATACCAATTCCTGAAACAATTACATTATTTTCCCACGTACGAGTACATGTACGTATCTAATGCAATCTTAACTTGCATCTAAATTCAATTGAAATAAACACTGTTTTATTTCGGTAAATAAACATTTTCAGCTATATTTTGCAGATTTTAATCCATCCTCACAATGAATCATTCGTCATACCCTATATATCTTTTTGAGTTTAACCCTAATAGTCTCTAAAATAAATCTATGTGTAAACTGTTAATTTATACCTATTCAAATTATACTTTTCAATAACAAGTTGGTAACTTATATTATTATTATACTTTAACAAGTAAAACAATGACGTATTTATGAATTATCGTTCAACTGACAAAATGAATATGAACTTTTGTAATTTTTTTTATTTTATTAAAAAAGACTTACAATCTGTATTTGAAAAAAAAAACACAATAATTAAATAAGAAATTTATACAATATTATTACATAACGGAATAGCTTGATGAGGGAGGCTATCCATTGATAGAACCCTTCGGAGCGTGATTTAAATTAATTTAAGAGGTCACGCCATCAACGTCTTTTCAGACGGCGATGAGGGTTTTCGGGTAGTGAGCGCATAGTGTTATAGTTTTGAATGAAATTTTGTATAGTATTTTTTGGCTAGTTGGTCTACTGTATATATTTTTTAGTCTTTATATAGTGCTTTATTAGTTATGTACCAAGGGGCTGAGGCAATAAAACGAAGTGAGATTGATTGGAAGGATTGAATGGATTGGGTATAGGTTGGTTGGCGCAGCCTCAGATTTGCATACCGTAAGCCCAAATAGATCTTAATAGAAATTTGTATAAAATTGTTTTAGTGTGGATTGATAATTTGGATTTAAATATGGGGCGAAGTATATGTAGACGGTTATTTAGTGTTTTGCGTTTTGCTTTTAAGTGGGGGCCTTTCTTATTTTAAACGTAATACATTATTAATTAATGTTTTTCAAAACCACTTATTATATTGAAATATTGCGTAGTGTTTACTATGTAACAAAAACATATTGTTATTCGATTAAAACATAACACGTTTGATTAATATTTGTATTCATATTGAGCATTTAAAAATTATGAAATTATATTAATTGTTGGCAAACAGTCAATTGGGTTAAAACGAAAAAATTGGTTGAGAATACAAATTTTTATATAGAGACTTAGTTATGATTTCTAAATTTTTGCAATAGTTAAATAATAATGTAGCATTTCGAACTTCGTATACTATGAAGTATTATTCAAAATCGCAATCTTACATTTTCTTGATTTTTTCATGTTTGGTGTATTTTTTGTAAATATTTTTTGACCACGGGATTTTATATAAGGTGTTTTTTCAATGAATAAAGAAACTAGTAAAAGCATAACAAGTGCAGTTATAGGTCTAATGGCAACATTTCGCAGATGAAAAAAACCTTTAAAAAATGTTGCAATTAAGTCCATCACTACACTTGTTACACTTTTACTAGTTTCTTTATTCATTTAAGAAACACTCTAAATAAAGTACACAGTGTAATAATTGTTAGTATATTAGTAAATCAAAAATTAAAACTATTTCTTATTTCAGAAAATATCATTTGTATTTTGCTCATCGAAAGACAAAAGATTAAAACATTTGAAAATTTTACAAAATTTAGTTTTTAGTAAGCATTTACCAATCAATACGAATAAATTCTAAGGTAAATTATAATATTAATTATTACCAAGGTTCACGCACTACCTCAACATAATAAAACCAAATTATGTTGAATACATGTATAAATTTACATATTTTAATATATATATAACATACCTTTAATTTTTGAATTAATATGATAATATGAAAATCAATGAAGTGTTTTTTAAGTACTTAATTTATTTATTTGTAAGGAAAAAAATATTATTATGATTTAAAATTACTAAAACCAATTATACTCGTATTATATTAATTTTCTTAAGTATTACATTTTTAATTTATTATTTAGTTAATACAAATTAACTAGAGGGTTGGAACACCGCTTACTTCCAATCAATTGTGACTTTAATTTCTCGATTTAATATCAAAATAATCAAAAATAACATTTTATTTTTGTGTTGCTTTTTAAAAATGTTCTTGCCACCTCTGAAATTTTATCACTCCTCTCAAGAGGAGTGTGCCCAAAGGTTGAAAACCGCTACTTCAAAGGATATGACGTATATTTTACCAATTTTCTTCAATGTATTTTTTAATTTATTTTTTTTATATTCAGTCACAAATTTTTTGGCTTAGTGAATTATTTGATGATGAACTTTTGATAAAAAAAAAAATTGTAAACTGCGATTTGTTAAAAAAATTATTTCGGAAACCTATTCTTGAATCATTTAGGTAATGAAAATAATAATAACAATGATGAAAACAATTTAAATAAATACAAGAACTGCATATCATTATCAGTATTGGGACTCATCTCGATAAATTCATCTAGATAAATTATCTAGATAGATTTTTTGCTATCTTTTATCTAATCTAGATAAATAATGCTAATTTATCTAATTACTTATCTAAGATAAAATTTTTACTTATCTAGATAAATTTCTGTATTCTTGTCAAGATTAGAGTTATTTTTATTCTTGTACGGAGACGAATCCAACAAATCAGAGATCATCAAAATTGGTCAAAATTGAATTAAAAATTCTGTAAATAACCTGACTTTCTTTTATACATATAGATTTTGTATTCATAATCATAACTCGTACATTGTTAATAAGTAATTATTATTTCTTGTTATGACATTTTTTTGTATTTTCACGTCGGGAAAATATTTTTGGTATTTTTAAACTTACTTTCTTATTTTTCCATGGAAGTTCCAAATATAGTAGGTATTTGATTTTAATATACACATGTAACTCATACGCTGAATAGTCATTATTTCACTCTTGGAACCCGTGAAGTCTTAACTACTTATAGAATAATGAAAATCATCAAATTAATATTATATGGAAAACAATATTATTAACTTAAAATCATTTTTTATGAATTCGATATTCATCCTGATATGTACAGAGCAATTTTTTTTTTTTTTTGTGTAACATTTTAATGACTAACTATCATTAAATATTGTATATTATATATAAATACTGCTTAATGGTACTCTACATTACTACAATAAACATTAAACACCTAGGTAACTATTGATAATAATGACTTTAATCGAGTCTTCATAGATATTATTAGAATATGAAATATTGACCAAAAAATAACATTTTTTGAAAATATATTTTTTTTTATCTAGATAAAAACGAAATTATCTATTATCTTTATTTAGATATTTTAATTTTTTTTTATCTTTTATCTTTATCTAGTTAAATTTTGCATTATCTATTCCCAACACTGATCATTATAGAACTGTAAAATAATTCTACCTGTTGTTATACACTGCTTATAAAACATATTCTTTATGGTAAAATTTACAGCATATTAATTTTGGCTTACACATTTTTACTTACTATGCTAAATACAAGTAAAATAATTTTCCCTAAAGATTTAATTATAAATATTATAAGATTATCCTTTTTATTTTTATATGTTGCATGTGAGAAATCATTCTCTATACTAAAATTTATTAAGACAATATTGAAAAGCACATCATCCGATTCATATGTAGATGTTATACTAATAGAGAAAAAGTAAAAGAAAAATTTATAAATTATATTTACAAAGAAAGAATTATTGGTAATTCAAAAAATAAAAGTGCATTACGCAATAAAGTACTTTCATATTAAATTGTCTTGTTGTATTATTAATGTGCCAATTTTATTTTAATTAATATAAAAGTTAGTTGATAATATTGTAATTTTTATAATTTTATATGGTATGCGGGAAAGGGTGAACCCATTAACTTAAAAAATCAACAATTATAATTATTTTTATAAATAATATTAAATATTATAATAAAGAGGGTAGGTCTAAATAATTTTCCCAAATCAAAAAATAATACCAATCCGTCCCTATACACAGCTCTCTGTTCACAAAATGTGATGCGTTTAATTATTATTGAAGTGTAGATATAATATTTCTAATATTGATAATATTAGTGTATAATATTAGAAATATTAAATCTACATAATATCGAATATTGTTGAACATAAAAGCGGTATTAAAATTCTAGTTTAAAAATTAAATACGATAAAATAAAATAAGAATTTCGTATTATATGGTAAACACTTTAGAAAGTTATAATATTATCAATAATTATTTTTGTACAAAATTTTTATTTTATTTTATCGTATTTAATTTTTAAACTAGAATTTTAATACCGCTTTTATGTTCAACAATATTCGATATTATTTTGGATAATAGGTATTAGTTTTTGAAATAAGTATTTGTGGGTTTTAACAATGAACCCAAAGATAAAGTGTCCATTTCGAATTTAAAATTGGGATTATTCCTTTTACAATACGAAGTTCAAGTTACCATTAAACTATAAAAAATATAATTAAACGTTTGCATCATATCTTTAAATTTGCAATATACATAGTTTTAAATATTAATATTTTAAATACATAATAATTGCATTATAATTGTTGTTAACAATTTGTCAATGCAGACTGTTGCCAAAACTAATTAGGTAATAAATACACTATACATTATTATATTGGAATCATAAACAAATTTGTATTTTGCATGTTCAATATTTTATATAATTTATATCAATTATTTATGTTATTGTATAGTTTTTTCTGTTGACACTAAAAATATGTCGACAAATACTATAGAGATCTTAAATATATAATAAAATAATTTAAAAGTTATTCATGTTTTTAGCTTTTAAATTAAATTGTAACTTAATGATGTCACAGGTTGAAAATTATGATGTGTTTCATTTATGTTGCAGTGGTCCATCATGCTGTCATTTTCACAAGAATCTGTGGTAGTCGAAGTTAATATCTCAATCGTAACCAATGTTAGGCCAGAAACTGCTATAATCATTCCAAACAAGGCCAAAAAAAATGCAGGTATCTAAAATTAACATAAATGTAACATATTAAACGTATTTTATCATTAAAATAAGAGTTATTTATACTAAAAACAGAAGTATATATTTCTCAATGTTAAAAATAATAATCGATATTCATACATATTTAAATCTATCTAATATATTGTAAATGTAATTTATTTTTATTTTTGAAATATCATAGCTAAATAAGAAAAAATATTATAGATGTTGTTATTAAATGAAAAACCATTTTTGTGAATGTTTAAGAAAATTAAACAATAATTATTATCCTATGTGTATAATCAAATTTAAAAAACTGTATAGTAGATTAATATTAACATATTGACAAACAGTTACAAAAAAACTGTGCTAAGTTAAAATGTTGTTAAAATTTTTATTTTAATTAACTATTGAAGAAATTAAAAATGGATTGCAAAAATAAGTATATCTATTAAATAATTAGCTCATTGAATTTATAAAAACACCATTTATTACCTTTTTTTTCCATGAATCATTGGAGATTTTAATATAAATAGCGGCTGGTAAAACAAATGCTAGTGGAATTGCTGCCATTACTCCCTAAAATATATAATATTCATTATTACAATATAATAACGTGGACGTTTATAACTATTATATATGTGTTTGATAAAACAACAGCATTAACAATTATGCAGCTTAATTAAATACAAATATTTATTTAATCTATAGAAGTAGCCAGTAATATATATCTTAAATAGAATATGTATATATTCTGTAATATATAATACATGGTTAGCTAAAAACAGAAAGGAACGAAGACCTCAAATCTGACTGCAAAACCAACCATAAGGATGAATACAAGAAGATATATATATTTAAATATATTTAACTTACTTATTAACTAATTCATGTAACTATAATAACAATTGATGAAATCTATAAGTATGATGACAAAACACTAAACTTATTTATTGCTGTGTTACAAGTTTCAACTTCTAACTTACAAATCATCCTTATTTACAAAAAAATGATAACAATTATTTGATTAATTTAATTATAGTGGGTTATAGTTGTAGCCAATTTATTATAAGTAACAAAGATAAATATTTATATTAATATAGAGTTTTTAATAACTTTCATTAAGATTAAAATAGGGAAAAAAAATATTCAATTATAATCCCACTTCATCTTTAACCTCACAAACTTCATTGTAAAAAATACTGTAGTACCAATAACATTCTTTAACTAGAGATTATTTAAAGGATTGAGGGAAAAAAATGAGATAGATTACATTTTCCTTCTTCTCTCCTTCTTCTTATAATAGGTTGTAGGTATATCAAATGTGAGTTTTAACAAAAATAAACATTTTTTAATTAATTACAAATTGAACTAACTTAAGGAAAATTAACAAAAAAAATTCAATATTAAATTGTAACATTAAATGATTACATTCATTAAAATATTCAGAAATGATTAAAATTAACTATAAATTACTTATTATGAGATTTATACGTAAATTATATATCAAATATTATTCAATAGGTACTTACATTTATTTCTAAGGCGATACCAAGACATCTAGTGGATATAGATATTAAGTAAGTTGCTACTAGGATCGATATAGTTATGATAGCATGTCTTTTTTTTGACATCGGATTGAGTATAGGGTTAGTGTCACCCCTGAGGGTCTGATCGACAACAGCTTTAATTACCATACACTCCAATGGAAATGTAAGCAATGTTATTAATGAGAACAGTAACCTTGATATGTTAATCAAATCGTCATTCCAGCAATAATTTTCCAATAAATCACCTAAGTTCAAAAATTATAAAATGTCATTATCAATAGGTTATTAGTAAATATTCCACAAAAAAAAAAACCATATTTGCCTTGAGTAAGATCACCAAATGTAGCATATCCGACTAGTCCAAAAGCAACCATTAGTAAAAATGATATAGTAACTGCAAAATGAGTTACATAGTTCCAAATAGTTTGACTAGCTCCTTCAATAGAATCATACAATAGAAACACGTTGTGATGACACATAAAACCTAAATAAATAAAATTATAAAATTAATTTTACTGATATTTTTTAAAATAGAATAAGAATATGCTAAAACATAAAATACAATTATTAATTGTAGACAAATAAATACATACTTACTAAATAATAAGTATTTATATTGATAAAATAAATATGTTGTCTATAATTTATAGAATAATTAATTTTTAATATACAAAATATGTTATATGAATTAAGTTGTAGATTCTGAGAATTTATGGCATCACAAACATTTTTAATATAGTATTTTATTCTGTCTTCACTTTTTTTAAACTTTAATTCTTTATTACTATCATTGATTAAATATACATGTTTATTATTAAATCAATGTTACTACCAAATTTATACAAATAATCCAATTGTACGTAACAGTAATAATAATATTGTACGTATAGTAAATGTAATCATGTGATCGATCATTTACTCAAATTTCAAATCAGATTCTGTACCCAACACATATATTTACCACTATTCAATTCAAAAATCAAAGCAACCAATTTTTTAAGGTACTGAGTAAAAACTAATACTAACATTAACACCAACTTTCAATAGTAATATTTATAATTAATTAGTATTTTAAATTAATAATTGAATTACACATGTTAACTATAAAACTCACGCTCTTCAGTTAGTATACATATATTCATTAGATTCATAAAATTTATTATAATTGAAATTCCAAAAAAAATTTCTTTGAATATCTTAAGGCTCATTAATTAAGAGGATTTTGAATACCATCTATAGTATATTTATACAATATTTGAAAACGACATTCTAGATACGTATATCACTCATTTTTTTTTTATATATAATAAGTTCGTCATCGTAAAAATAAATGGTCATATTTCATAACTTAGGTTTCAAGCATGTATAGATTTACAATGATTTTTTTTTCTTTCATTACTTTTTTGAACAAAATAACTATACAAATAATTGTATGCTGTTCCCATTGCCCATTATTTTTAACATTGTTTTCATAATCAGTCGATAACTTTGACTGTTAAATACTATTAATAACGGTTTTCGGTTAATGATAAAAACAAGAAAATTTTACCAAATGACATTATTCCAATAGCTTGAATCATACCAGGACGAGCAAAATCCCAGGTGTGTATGTCTCCAACTTCGGATGCTGTGGACCTGGGAAAATTGTAAGACAAAGCAAAAGATTTTTGAAATTTAATAACAATGTACATGTATTTGGTAAGTGTACCTACTGATAAAAGTTATTGTGTCTGCTTACATGGCATCGTGTAGAGATTTATATCTGACGACAATTGCTACAAAAATCACCAGTACCATGATAAATGACACTACAGATGCTTTGGCTAGTCTTGCAACGTTCCTTAACATGCATAAAGGGGTTGTAATAAAAATTGTAGCCATTGCTATGACAAAATACCGCTGGGCAAATATAGAGTCATGAGGCAACGAAAACAAACTAATTAAGACTTTGGTTGCAGTGTCCCCAACGATTATATTATAACTTATCATCGCTGAAAAAAAAAATGTTAAAAAAATTAATCGTATGTAAATATATGTATTGATGATAAATCAATAAATTCATACGTTAAATAGTAAACACTTTTATTCATTAATTAAATAATTATATTATGTTATAATTATTTTATACCAAATAAAATAATTCAAAATATTTCAATTAAAGTACAAACTGTTAAATAATAATTATTTTACACGCAAACAACAACCATAATATGTGTACTAAAATATTATCAAAATCCCGTTTAGTCGCCGTATTATATAATAGTTTATTTGAAGAAATTATACACTCATTTTATAAGAATGATCCAAATATTTTTTTAAAATATAAAATATTTTTCAATGTTGTCTTCTTAAAAAGACTAGATTATTTAAATATGGAGTATATTATAAAATCCGAAATTCGTCAAAACTAGTTTTAATAAATCATTAATAGTTTTCACAAATCAACTTCGTCAAAACTGATACTAACTAGTTAGAACTTTCAGTGTTGATATCACAGTTAAAAACTTAATTACATCAAAGCTAGTTAGGTTAGAATATAAGAATTAGGCTCTAAAGTTGATCAGAACATCAAAACTGATACTAATTTTAAAATACTCGTACAATTTTGTAACAAAAGTAAATTTGAAAGAAGTATAATTTTTTTTTGTATTGATAAAGCAAACTATGGTGGCATTTGGAGTTACATAAAACATTTTTTTTTACCTAGGATTGTCCCATATTACTTTTTCAAGTCCACTTTATAAAACCTTGTCTTAATCCCGTCGAAGCTTTAGGTGCGACTGCGTGACGAGTAATATTGCCTGAAACCTGACCGGTAGTAATAAAACAACTCTGTGCAACAATTAAATTTAGACCTGAATAATTTTATTGATTACTGCCGATTTCCTTATTCTACATTATTTATTGGAAGAAAAAGTGAAAATAGACGATTCAGCAATAAATAAGTGTATTAAAAATTCATTCTTCAAGTCAACATCTTGAAAACGAATCAGAATGTTAACACATAGATATGTACAACAGTCGGAAATTCTTTGTCCGATCGAATCGTCATGTAAATTTCCTGTTTTTTCAAATTTCCACGAGCTTCTATTCTAATTTAATTTATGTTTGGATTGACTGAAAGAGATTAAATATTCATACCTGAAAAGTATTTAAAAACATTTTTAATAACAAAGTATTATTAAATGTATGAAATAATTTAATAAAAAAATAAAAAAAATAAAGATCATATCTACCTGTAGTTTTCTGAGCAATCATCACTTTACACCCAATAATCGTAAGTTATCAAAATCATCCTCAATTTTAATCTTATCAATGACGTAATCGGACAGATTTGATGTTGTGACACAACTCTTGGGTTAACACCAAACATGGTTTTATAAAAAGTCATATTTATTTCTGCATGGTGTGCTCTCTTCTTTAAAAATTTGATAAACTTTAAGCCAATGGACCAATTACTTGATTTTTTTTATCCGTCAATCTTGAGTTGAGCATTCGTTCCACATCTTGGTGCGTTCTACTGAGCCTTGGCTTTGCGAATGCTATGGTTTTCCGTGCACTATTCTTAACTCTGTCCAAAGTGTTTTCAGATCAATGATCACGCTGTAAACATCTGTTAACTGTTCTATCGTAGTCTGAATGTGAAATAATCGATATATCAAAGGTCAGAAAATGTCTAGTTTGGCTTGCAACTTCTTGTGCAGGCTTAGTCTGCAAAAGGTGAAACTGAACGAATTTTATCATGTTATCTTGATAATTTATTACAAACTTATATTATTTAATATATTGCAGTTGCATTCCTATGAGATTGATTTGACATATACTGTTGAATTCATAGTGCAAAATACTTATATTAGACAATGCATTCAATAGGAGGCCTTTCATCAATACAAACTTAAAAATAATTTACAGTTCATTACCTACAGCTCATGTTCCTGTTATAATGATAACATATTATAATGTTAGACAAATAATTTATATTTTCAAAAATACATGAATGTATCTATATGTAAATGTCCCCCTCGTTCCCCCCTCAAATACGCTCTTGGTTCTGGTTAAAACTAGTTTTGACAAATTTCGAGTTTTAAATGTTATATATTATGTACATATTTTTTTTTTACAGACTAATCTAAACTTTAAATGATGCAATTATGTAAGTTATTTAGGTACAGCTGGGTTTAGGTATACTTATGTTATGATTGATCAAGTGATCATTGAGATGTTAAATTAAAATTTTTATTTATGGTTTTTTAGAAATATTATATAAAAAAAGGTAAAAAGTTATTTTTTGAAATGAGTTCAGCATCATTAATTATTATCATTTATTGGTTTTTATAACTTTATCAACTACAGTTCTTTGAAAAAAATATTTCATGTATTTTACAACAATAAAGTTACATTTGTACAAACATACAACTACAAAACCATACATACTATTTGAATTTTAAAAGTACGAAATTTGCAATATTTACACAGGTTTTACTCAAAGTTGTTAAACATTGACAGATCTGAGTAGTACATTGAAATATTGAATAATATCATATAGGAGCAAACGCAGAAAAAAATTTCCGGGGAGTTTTGAAAAAATATAAAATATAAATTATTAATAAATATCATACTTTATTATTCATTATATAATATATATATATTTTATTTGCGTAATCTCCTGGGAAACATTGAAATAACAATTCATTTTATAGGTTCAATTTTTTTTTTTTTTTTTGGAGGGGATTTAAATTCCTTTCGCCTGCGTTGGCGTCTGATATCAGATCTTCGAGTTCTTGACCATTGGAAAAATAATTCGTATGTATATAATTATTTGTTCAATCAATATTAATACATACACAAATACTTATTCTGATATAATAAAACTGTTTTAAGAGTATTATTGATGAGTGTTTTTTCTCCGTGAGGAAAAATTGCGGAGAAGTCACTCGCTAATAATCTGTGGGTTCCCATACATATTCGTTATAATACATCACTTATACTTATTGCTTTTACCTAATTTTTACAAATCGTATAATTAAAAAAAAATGCATATAGTTGTTGACAACAAAAATGTCAAAACTTAACAGATACAAAATAATATAATATAATAATATTGTATGAATATTTAATATACATATTAATAAATAGTACAGTGAATATCAATTAATAGTTGTATTACTGTTTCGACAAACAAAATATTTATTAGTAATTATCGATAAGTTTAAATTATTATATAATTATTATCTAAAGGTTTTGACACTGATTTTTTCGTTGTTCAATATTATATTTTTTTTAATTATTACTATTATTATTATCTCCACAGTTATACCTATTAAATAAAAGACTATTATAATTTATGGCAGTTACGGAAAAATTTCGCGTTGCACAGCTGAATTTATCGGACGCCAAATTGTTTCCTTTGACCTACCTATCAAAAGACAAATACGGCAAAAAAATGTTTTAAGAGACGTCTGATATTTTAATGTTACATTTTTAAATATGTATATGACTGCATATGTGTAAGTACAAGTGCTCTACATGCTCTACATTATTGAATCTTCGACTTGGTCCAGTTCAATAATTTTTAGGAGTAGTTCGGTCCAGTCCTCAAATCAAATGCATTATTTTCAGTCGGCCCGGTTTCAAAAAAAAAAAAAAATGAAAATCAGTGGGAACCGATGTCAGTCCAGTCCCAATCATGGTATTTAAAATCTAAATACAGATATTGTTATGTAAACAAGTAAAACGAAAAAAACCTACAACTTTGGTAAATATTTATTTATTAAGTCGGGTAGTACGGTCCAGTGTAATACTAAACGCATCATATGATACGGTCTGGGCTAATACAGACTGAACCTTACGGACCGGTCCATAAACAGTCCAAAATGTTTTAAGATCGGACCGACAGTCTGGTTTACGGTCTACTTTATAGAATGTTATTTAATTATTGGTTTGGTCCAATTTTGGTCTTTAATTAACATTTAATTGTGGTCCGGTCCGACTTCGGTCCCTTGGCAAAATTTGAAGTCCGGTCTGATCCTTAAAATAACGGACCTTGCCGAGCACTAGTAAGAACATATTATATAAGTAAAAACTTATTAGTTCTAACTTAATGGCACACAAACATGGACTGTAATGTAAATGTTAATTATCTTTAGATTTCATCTAACAAATTTTTCGTTAAAAAACTTATCTTATTGTTTTAATGATTGGTGCGACTCATTAAGAAATAAGGTGTGAATGATTTTAGGAAAGAAATGTATAGTGTTCATATTACGAGTATGCATAATATTATTTTCATACAGATACATAAATCAAATTGATTAAACCTGAACAATTAGCGTACCGTTATTTAGTAAACCTGGATATTAGACAAATATCCCCAAATCAGAACTGCCAAAGTGAAACCTACATTATGGATGACAATGAGATTTATATTTTACAAAGGGAATTTGGTACCTAGAACAATGGTTCCCAAAATTGTTTGGTTCATGCATCCCAAAATAAAAAAAAAAATTAATCGTGCCTCCCATGAATAAAAATAAAACAACATTTTTTTACAATTTTAATAAAAGTAAATTACTATCAATTTAAACATAAATATATGATAATGTAATATGCAATATTTGCCTTGCGTCACCGCCAATAAATACTTATGCCTCTCTAGGAAGACGCGCGCCTCACAGTTTGGGAACCACTGTAGTATAGTAGGTATATTTAATCTTATTTATGAAGTACTCAGACTATGGACTTAATGAACCTAAATTAAGTGGAGAAAAAGTAAGTACTTTGAGAGAAGAGAGTAAACTACTAAATAGTGAATATCTTTTAAGTAAAACTAAATAAAATACGAGAGTTACAAATAGTTGTTTTTTCGAAGTATTATTTCATTGTAAACTTCGATAATTTAATTTTTTTGAACTTAATTGACTAACATAAGTAACTTTTGGACTTAAGATACGTCAATAAATATAATAAGAATTATGGTAATAATCTATCAGACGATAACAGATTATTTCATTAGTATAATTTAAATGACTAAAAACAAATTATTAATCTAGTAAAAATAACAATTTAACAATTATTTGAAAAGAACTTCAATATAATAACTAATTACAATAGTTTTAAATGTTGTATCTAAATATAAGATTAAACATTCATATGAAAATATAAATTACATTTTTAAATTGTACTCTGTCTTTGATTATAAATATAGTTTAAATATCTATATTGATAGTTTTTTATATTAATAAAACGTATGTATAATATCATTATTTGTATTAGATTAAATATTAATTTATTTCTGGAATTTTATGAGTCTATATATATTAAATTATTGGCTACTTTTATTTATCACACGACACAATTCATTAAGTAATTTTATAATTAAATTAATTTTTTTAATATTGTATAAATAGAAACTTTATTTTATCTAGGTATACATTTTTTAACTTACCTATAAAAGGATAAATAAACTGTAGAAAGGATAATACAACAAACCCAGGTCTGCCAAAAGCTGATTTCATTAGAGATTGGTATGAAAAAGAGCCACTTATGTGTGCACTTCTTAACATGAGAACCAAAGAATAATCGGTAATAATAGCAACTAATGCCAATAATATTACTCCCATTCCAACGCCGGATAAATTAAACGCATATGGTATACCTGAAACAGAATAATATGACTCATATAATAATCTTACATTATTAGCAGGGGCGATTTTATGGGTGGAGGCCGAGGGGAGCCCGGGTCCTCTCCGAAATGAAAAACACCATTATTAAAGATTGTTACTTTTAATATGAATATATCTTAATGCTGGAGGTTCCCGAAAATTTGTCACGACACTCAGAATGATGCTTATGCGATAATTTAAAATTTTATATTTTTAAAATATGCTTATTCTTTTAATAGAATATGTAGTGAATTTTAAGTGACTCTAATAAAAAATTTGTTTATTACAATGTAGTTTTTATACTTTTAAAAAATAATAAATCATTAAAAAAAATTGAGTTTCTTATTTCTCTGATGGTGTAAAGACAGTCGAGAAGTCTTATATTGTTAAAGTAATTTTTTCGTAATAGTGTGCTTCTTCCTTCCCTTCCACCCAAAAATCAAATACATAATCGGCCCCCTTTGGAATCAAAACCTATATACGTCACTGGTTATTAGACTAGTCAAAATTTAAAGTAAACAGTATTCTACTCAAGGACACACGTGTAATAATATAAAATATAATTTATAAGTAAGCTGATTCAATTTGATTTTTTTAATTTAATCAATAATACTTCTAAATACATTATATAATATATTTATTATCAAATATAATGTATTGCTCATACTTTTATTTATAATTATATTTATTTATTTGTTACGATTAGTATGTCACAGGGGCGTAATTTGTCTTACTTCTAGGGGGAGGGACTCAAATTTTTTCTTTAATTCATACTTAATATTTACAAGTAAAATTTTTGGTAATATTTAAATCAAGTGAATCTTTAATATTTGTAGTTTTTTTTTTCAATCTAATTCCGGTGTGACCGGGATTATTTACCCCCGTGAAATTTTACCGGGGGAGTAAACTTTCACTAGTGAATTTTTACCGGGGGAGTAAAGTTTCACTAGTGAATTTTTACCAGAGGAGTAAAATTTCTCTAGTGAATTTTTATCGGGAGAGTAAAATTTTATGCGGTAAAAATTCTTAATATTTCCTAATATATTATCCCTAATGAAATTTTTTTACTCCCCAGTAATTATTATCTGGTGAAATGTTACCCCTAGGTAAAATATTTACGGCTAAAATTTCACTAGAGAATACTTACTGGGGAGGAAAAGGGAGCAAAATTTCGCGATGGTATTTTCTATTTTTTTCTAATTGTTTTAATAATAATAATAAAAATACGTCCAGTCGTCAAGGTTAAGATAACATAGCAATAACTTTTTAAAATTTATTTTATATACGACTCCAATATACATAATATAAAGAATAATAGGTAATTTAAATTAAAAATAAAATTGCTGTTAAAAAAAAGTTTACGAAGAAATTCGTTATTATAAGTATCGATGTGATAACATCCAAGTTCTCATTTTCTATAACTGTTTATAAATTATCTAGAAATAAATTAAATTTTAATTAAATGTGATAATTAATAATTCATTGTTAAGAAATTATTTAAAATGTAATTCTTTGTATCGATGCATTTAAATTACTTTGATTGGTTGAGGTTTGAAAAACTATATTTACCAACATTTTGCAAACTTGACGTATATATTTTTCTCATACTCATATATAATTGTGATGATTAAGAGGCACTTGAATTAATTTTCCTCAGGCCCTAAAAATCCTTTTACATAAGTCGAATTATATACATTTGATTTTTAATATTATACATAAATAATCATTTATTATTATATATCTAATGTTAATTTGAGCATATTTTACAAGTTTTATGGGAATATTTAGGGCATATTTTGAGAGTTTTTTTAATGAATATATTAAACTTTAAAGAACTTAAGAATCCGCTGTATATAACAATAACTGAACAATTTACCTAACATATATTTTATTGTAACTTGTTTACACTATGATCATACTGTTAAAAACAGAAAACAAAAACTTTTCGTACAATCATTAGATACTGTTGTCCAAGTGATCATCAGTTTTATAAGACTATGTGTTGATGTATAGTAGGGATGGGCAAAATTTTTTAAACATCGATATTCGATATATCGCTACATCGATTTTTAAAATATCAATGTGTTCGATGTATCGGTGAAAAACTATCGATGTTTAAAAACATCGAAAAAAATGTTTTCCCTCTAGAGTTTCTGTTGCACACCTTATTATCTGTTCAGTGTACTATTTTCTTGATTAAATAATAAATTTAATAGTTAAAATACTATTGTTTAACACATATCTTTTAAAAACATATTAAATACTTATAATCAATACTTATAATGTCACATAGACATTAGAACTCGTAAGTTCATGCATTTACATGTTTTCTTTGCTACATCGGAAAATATGGTAATTGAGATAAAAATCCGTTCCATAACAATAGTAATAAAAATCTTAAGTTTAATAGAGCATGTTATTATAGCACATATTATTTTATGTAAATTTAGCGAAATCATTTTTTGTGGAAGTCAAAAAAAAATTAGATCAATAAATGTTTGAATTCATTCTTATTTACTTTTCCGAATTTGTTTATAAAATCTTAGTATTTCATCAATAATTTTATTTTTTAATGACATTAAATTTTATAAATTAAAAGGAGTAACACGAAAACAATGTTATTGCGCACCAATACCACTCTCCTCCTATTGCAATCTATCTATTTTCGTAACAAAGTGTGTTCATTAATTATGATTTTAATAAAATGTAACCGAAGAAAAAATATAACTTTTAAAAATAAAAATGGATAATTCTTATTATTTTAAAAAATCCTTTTAACGTTTTTAACGTTTTTTTTTTTTTATGCATAGTTAAGGATTTTTAATGCATATTTGATCAAATGTTAGTGAATTATCCTATTGCATGCTTATTTATGCATTTTTAAGTGCATGAACTTACGAGCCCTGATTATAACTGTATAGTGTATACTGTATAACGATTTTTGTATATTACTTACTAAAATAATACAAACAAAAAAAAAGATTCGAACATTACAAACATCGATGTTTAATAGATTAATCGAAAATAAATCATCGATGTTGAAACATTGATATATCGATCTAAACATCGATGTTTTTTTGCCCATCCTTAATGTATGGAGTGCTCGAGTATCGGGTACGGAGAGGGTTCCTACGAATACGGACTGTATACGTATTAAATACATATTATCTATATGAACACTTGGGTATGATCTGTTTGTAAGTAGACACAGTATCTGTTAAATTAACCTACGATTACGAGAATATTTTATACTTATTTTTTACATATCACAATACATTATATAATTACAAATATTTTTTCTTTGAATTTTCAACTTTTTTTCCACTTATTCAAATGTAATAATTAATAATACATATCACATATTTCTACTTGAACCACTATATATACTTAGATGTTTTGAGTATAAAATCGAAAAGAACACATTATTTGATAGCCTTCCTAACTCTATAAATGACCCAAAAATATTTCTTTAACCTTACTAGTTACCTTACCGAATAATGAATTGTATTATAATATACATTAATTATAGTTAATATATATTATAAACAATTATTGGAAATAATTGAAGCCAATTGGGATAAGATGGCTGTGTTTAAACGCACAGTCACAGATTTAAACTCGGTCACCGGTGGTTCGTTTTTCAGAAGTGATGAATAAAAGACCTTCTCAAAACAAATAACCTTCTCCACACCCTTCATTCAACTCAATGCATTAACATGCTTTGTGTTCAACCACCCAATTATTATTATTATATTATAAATTTTTATGTAGTTGAATAATAAATAATTTTCCTAGTGTTTGAAAATAACACAAAATGCTCGCGAATAATATCATGATAAATTTAAATGAATAAAAATAAAAATAAAATTTAGGTACAATTGTACTTAAGTAATGATTCAAAAAAAAAAAAAAAATTATAATATCTTTATATTATAAGATAAATGAAGAAACAAAATACAATAGTTTTTTTAAATATCAAACTTACCAATGACACCACTGCCAATAATTGAATTTATGTAATTGAAACTGGCAAACTTTGGACAGTTTTTGAGGTTGTCGACTCCATTCATTGCCTAGTAACAAAATATAAACACAATTATTAGAAAAACATATTCTAAAAAAACATTAAAATATAGATATATGAAAACGAACAATTATTTTATTTTTAATAATTTCAATTCAAATAAATAAAAATTAGTACAAACAAATTCAATTATTCATTCATATATTCTCGAATTGATAATAATCAAAAATTATTATGATAATCAAGTGTTCATTTATTTATTTCAACCAGAAGGCTTGTTATGATCATCAAAAAAATGAATGATTTTTTTATAGAAATGTTCGTCTAGTTGATACTTTCCATAGTCATTTTCTGAATTTTTCAAGTACGAGTATGTTCCTTATAATTGAAAAACACTAACGAAAAATTACAAATATCGGCCACACTTAAAAAATTCCTGATTTCGACAAAATATAATTTTTTCCCCGTCATAGTTAAAAAAAAAATAATCTTAGAAACTTGACATTTTTGAAATTAACTTATTTTCTTAAATGTCTTCTACTATTTATACTTTAAATTTTTTTCAATATTAAATTTTAAATTGATTATAGTTCGAAATAATTTCTTATTTTTGGTTTTAATATTCGAAAATAATATACATCACTCCGCAAGTTGGTCTTATTTCATTACAAATCTGTTGAAAGTTCTTAATTACCATTTTACTTATAAGCAAGTACAAAAAAAATTTTAGAACTATAATTCTAATATTTCCCTTAGGTACCTACATAAATAGTATTATTTATGAAATATTCCATCAACTTTTAATATAATATAAAGTTTTGATTATTATTTTAACTATGATATATAAATAATAATTTCTCCTTGTTTTTTTTAGTCTACACTGATGGTTCGTTTTCCCTCTTTTTACTGGCCATTGGGGCACATATGAAGGTGCAAGAAAGTTCTTAGCACCCTCATGTTCTAAATTAGTACCCCCAGTTTATTTTGAGGTAAAAATATTGTTTAAAGAGGATTATTTTGCGTTTGTAAGAATGAATAAACTCCAGTTTGCATTAGTAATGCACTAATGCCACGAACATTCAATATACATACATACGTTATGCATGTATGGATGCATTAGGAAGTATTTGTGTTTATGTTACCTATGCATGTGATACAGTAATGATGGTCAAGTTTATTCCTAGGATACCATTTAAAATTTTGAATCTGTTTACCGTCTACAAGTTTTATCACTTATTGATAAAAAATAGTGATGTGTGTAATAATATTTAATTATAATATAGAAAATTGCTACATTTATAATTAAATGGTATAACTAAAAAATGTTGTGCCAAGTATTTATAGGGGGCTTATGGGGAGCATTGTTCCCACGAATCACCTTGACGTGGATAATTTTAACACTCCCAAGTTTTATACTAAATGTGCGTCTATACTGCTGGCTATTCATTTATTATCCCTAATTTATATATTTCTTATTCTAGCAATCCTCCCTTTATATCCATACCTTTTTCTGCCAAGTGATATATCATAGTTGAAGCTCACACCAATTTCGACCCTCCCTCTAACAGTTTTCTAATCGTCTCCTACTCTACTGTCATGTATTCAGTCATTAATCAGTAATCCTTTAAATTTCTGTCTTTCTTCTCTTATACTCCGTATAAAAAGAATCTCTTTTCTTTTTCATCGAGCTGTCTTTATCATCAAATTCCTTTAGACTCCTAGTCATTCGGCAATTAAATCTCTGACAATCTGGCGAGATATACCTCAACCATTTCATTTCATTACCTTTCCCTTATAAAATGCCCTTTTCTGACTTCCCCCTAATCTTGCGTCAATATATCAATCGTCTCTGGTTCTCTTATTAGGACAAAATTCCGGCCAACTTTGCTACAAAATATTAAAATATCGATCCTGACATATTAAAAAAAAAACGTTGGTCAAAAATCTAAATTTATCTAGAATATGAATAATTAGAATAAATAGAACATGAATAATTCAGTTTAATCACTTTCGAGCGAGTCATTGTTTATTCCCTTCTCATTCCTATACACTTTCCTTAAATGATTCTCCTTTATATCCTAACATTCAGAAGAAACGACAAGTAGACTTTTTAATATTATTTTCACCTGTCTTTTCTTGTCCTCCAATCGTTCACTCCTCTTTAATTTTTTAAAATCTCATAATATACCTTTATATCTTCCTTCTATTTTTAATCCGAAACTATCATTAGCCAAATACTATAATTTATCCTTGAAACTGGTCTGACTATTTAAATCAATTTTAATTTTTCCTATCTAAAATTTTTATATATCTTAAATCTTAAAATTGTAAAACTAACTGTTGAAATAAATTGTAAAACTATAAAGTTGAAATAAATTATAGAACTATAAAGTTTAGGTAAAAAAAAAAAAAACCATTTTTTTTTTCATAATAAAATTCAGCACTGATTACTTTTTTCACTTTTTTTCTTTTAAAACAATTATATTCAATTCTATAAATTATTGTTGCTTAGAATACGAGCTAAAATGATTGAATAATTTTACATAATATTCGTTTACAACATAAAACGCGAGTACCGCACAACGCACTTTGCTATAGAACAATAAAAGTAAATAAACCAAATAGCACTAAATTAAGTCAATAGTTTTGTAAATACTTCAAAAGGCATTAATAATATTATATGGACTTAGTTTCAGAAGATTTAAAATTAAAATGAATCACTTTAAAAAATTAAATTAACATAATACAACTATTGTTATATTATTTAATCATAAGTTATTTCATTTTTAAAGAAGATAGGACTACTTTAATTATTTTTTTATATATTTAAGCATAAGCTATGAATTTATTTGAATACAATTGTAATTAGAAATATTTAAATTGTAATACTTATTGACGACAGTTGTTAATCACTAATATGAATTAAAAATTACAAATGCATGATTAAAACTAATTCTAACTTAATTTAATTTAATATTCAAATAAAAAGAGTAGAAAATTTAAGATTAGAACATTTATAATTAAATATTCTCAATTACAGAATACAGTTTCAATGATCATTGAACATATTCAAAACCCCATACCAAATTTCTAATAATAACAGTCATTTGTTGTATTTTCTTATTTACGCTCACTTTATCTACTATTAGAGATCCGCAACTCTATTAACTTATCGTTCTATGTATCAACTACTCTTAATATCAGCGAACTGTATTTTTCCTCGATTTTCTTCTTGAGTCATTTTATAAATGGTACCATTTCTAGTTACCTCTCATGTCCTCATGCTTTATTTTATCATTTATAGTTTCTCCAGCATCTACACATTATTATATTCTTATCTCCACTATAATTCATCGTGAATTCCGTTTTTATCAATTTCTGGACCCATTAAACCAACGTTAAAATAAATTAAACGCTGATGTAGAAAAACAACCGTCGTCGTGAGATGACTGATTCTTTTTTTACCTATTCTGAGGATAGCATTGTTGAAAAAAGTTTAGAACTTGTGCATTAAACCATACAGCATTACCGCCCTCACTACAGTCTTATACAATTAACCTTTAAATTGTATTGGAATCTTCATACCTCATAATAAATTATAAATGAAGAAAAAATATATGACTACAATAGTTTTTTTTATTTTTGCGAGAACAAAATTTAATATATAATATAATATTAAAAAATAATATGTAATTTAATATATATTATTAATATGCATACATTTATAGGCAATGATTCCATTTAAAAAACGATTCTGATCGAAGGTCAGCTTAATATAAATGTATACATTATATATCTTATCTTATAACTGTAAGCTAAACGAGAAATGTATCACGTAATAAAGGCGTTTTATGTACTTATATTAAAACTATGTCTTAAAAATAAAATTAGTTACTTATTTTATCTTAAAGTTAGTAAAATCTACACTCAAAAGATTAAAAAATATTATTTTAATAATTTTAAGAATACGTAAAAGTGAGATAAATTTTGCCTTATTTCAAACACCACACATTAATAAAATAAAAATTGACCAAATCAAGTTTTTAGTAATATATAAGATGGTGTGCATAGCATTTAAAGCCATAAAACATGAATCAACTTAATTGAATAAAAAAAATAATAAAAATGCTTGCTGAACACAATAAACTAATTTTTAGGAACGAAATAGAACCATTATTTGGTGAATTATACACATTACTTCAAATTAACGCATACGAGTACGAATGATTAATCCAAAGAGGTAACCTTATAAACCGGTAAACCGAATTCTCGAGTGATAATATAACAAATAAATAAAAATATTGTTATAAGTCGTTCATAAAATTAAAAGTTTTGTTAACATGTCTTGGATCTCATATGAATTACACAAATCAATACACCGTGACTTGTTAAGTGTCATCAGGGTAGGGAAATTTTACTAACGGCGAAACCTGCGCAATAACTTTAGCCTAGAACAAGTTTTCTAGACGCACTATGACTAGGATTCGTGTTGGTAACGTTATTTAAACGTTTTCTTTTAATATTAATTAATCGACGAATGGAAAACAGAACAATCGTACCTGTTGCTGTTGCTGTAGCTGCTGCTGGTGTTGCTGCTGGAGTATGTAGCTCCTCTCGTCCATGCCATTCATGGACGGTTTCACTAGGTACTCTTGGCTGGAGGTCGTCCGGTCGGTCGAGCACATGGTGCCAGCTGTTGCCCACCGTCTTGGAAAACTTCATAAATGACGCGCAACACCCGCTGGGCGATACTTCCACGAGACAGTGACTTGACGGCGACGATGACAACGACGACGACGACTACGAAGACAGCGAACGTGTGCAGAAGGATGTGCTTTGCTAACGTCGCCGGAGCTGCTGCCGAGGTGTACCGTGTGAGGAGTATTTTTCGTATGTACGTACGTCGTACTGCCGTTGCGTGCCACTCGGATACTGCGCGCGATTCCCGTTCGAACGTCGAACAGCGTGCGCATGATAATGTTCGGTGGGAGGGGGTACATTTGGTACGTACGGACGCACGTCGTTATTAATGTTATTATTATTGTTATTACCGTTTTGTTATCGTCTCCTGGTGATAATTATGTTTTATAATTATAATATATTACGCTGTAATGGTGTGTACCCGCTGTCGTGCACCTCGCTAAATGCTCATCGAACAACGCCCCGAGACTGCCGCGGAAGTTCCATTGTTGTTCGCAGTATAATTCTTTGTCTCGTTCGGGGCACTCGTTTCACGTGACACAGTGATGAACACCGCAGATGAAAATTTCTATCATCAACCGTGGTGACCAAGGTCGTAACCAAAGGGGGATTTAGGTTCAATCCCTCCTGAAATTTTTTCTTAAACTGGAATTTAACGATTTTAAAAGCAAATTACATTTATCATTTTAATATTTGCTACTCAAGAACCATGTTTATACTCTAAACCTCCACTCAAAAAATCATTTGCTGGCTATGGCCTTGGTGGTGATGGCAGTGCGGACAAGGATCCGGTTTATGGTCGCGGCCACCGTGGCCGTCGACACGGTGTATTATGACACTACGATGCTATTCGGTACACGCACTTCCATGACGTATACGACAATCGCGACAGGGTAAACATTTAACGGAACGGAAAAAGTTCATTTTCCTTTTCACATAAGCGGTACACAACACACGTATCAAATATTTATATTATGTTGTAACACGCGTCATGTGCACGCTCAAGCGTATAATATATTAGTTATACGACACTGCGTTTCTAATACACAATCTCGTTAGTAATTGTTTACTGTCATTTCACAATTTATGCTCATTGTTATTGTGATATGTATATAAATTAGGTTTTGTTATTATATGTTTTGTTAACCTTTTTAATTTGAACATTATTTTAAATTTCTGTGTTATTCAGATTATCTGTTTGTATGTCAGCGACAATTCAAAAGTCAGAATATATTTGAATTCTCAAAAACTCCACGTTAAAATTTAATATATAATATGCAGTATTATAATATAATCAGTATAGGATAAAATTCATTATGAAATATAAAGAAAATACCTACTTTATTCATAAGTGTGTTTGTCTTGTTATTGAATCATTGTATAATATTAATAAGATATGTTATAAACTAATCAAAAGGAAAAAAAACGTATAATTTTAATTTAATTTTTTTATTTGTATAAATCTTGAAATTTATAAAATTATAGATTTTCCGTTATACTAAAGATATTAAATACAATAGCTTAATTATAATCTTTGTCGTGCGTTAATCATATCTAATACAGTAATATGTTTCAAGAGTTCCTAAATACTCTCTTAAAATTCCTATAAAATTCCATTTTTCGTTCATAGCTGATACCTAAGCAGTTTCGTCACTAAAATAAACACAATTTAATACTTAAAATTGATTGTGATCTTCATATTTTTTATTCAAATGAAGGGACTAACTAGTTTAATAGTGAATGATAGTATTGATTATAGAATAAACTAGTCTATTTATGGGTGTCACTAAAGTCCACATTTTAGATTGGCAAAGTTTATTTTTAGAAAGTAAAAAAATAATTTTTGCATAGGTTTAATATAACAACTGGCTAACCCAGAGATTCCCAACCTTTTTACTTAACGGCACACTTGATGATTTTAAACATTTTCACGGCACACATAAATAAATAAATAATCATGAATATAAGTTCACCGACGCCGCTCCTACGAATATGGCGGTTGGCGGCGACAACTCGTGAGGTGCTGGGATTAAGTTGGCCAGTCGTAATTTTATATAATAAAATAAATAAGTCCTTGTTGTTGTTAAATGACAGGCCAAATAGCATCGCCTTACTATTAATGAGCAATTAAATAATACAAAAAAAGATAGGGGCGGACGCCCAAAGAGGGGAAAATATTAATAATAATAATAATAATGGTAATACAAAATATATAACTATAACAACAAAACGGGTACCGTATGGGCAATAATACAATTATGAATAATAATTAATACCAAAGTGCAATATTGGCAATAATACACATAATCGTATTATAATATAATAAAAGGCACGACCTGATCGGTTGACTACGACAAGACACCCGAGTTAACGTTGCCCTGTGGATCGACCTGACCACGACAGGCACCTGAGCTGAAGTTGCCTTCTAGATTACTCGAACTACAACGGAAACGTGCGCGCACGGCGAAAAAAAATGTCCACTCCGACAAACACGGCACTACGCAGTCACTTTTTCATGTGCCCACTGCGATTCCAGCGTATCGATCATAAATTAATTTCCGTTACCAAAAAACAGGAAAAATTCGTACAAAACTATGGCATGACAGCCGCAAGCCGGTCCTCTCTCCGCGATCACGCGCCTTTTTACGACAGCGGCATAAAACGCCCGCACAAAAACCAATTGCGACGCCGCAACGATCGAAAGCAGACAACCGGGCTGACTTCACCAACGGCCTTTGTTTGCCGTTGCTTTAGGCCGTATGTGACAGAGAGGGGAAAGCTGAACCGCTAGACAGTGTCTCCAGTTGAGCGGGTTATTATGAGTTGTCTCGGGCGATTCCGACGGGAACTTGACCGTGTTCGAACAATATACATAATTTCATAATAATATATTACCAGTGTTGGGAAAGATAACCAATAGTTTTATCTAGATTAAAGATAAAAATAATGACTGAAGGTTTATCTAAGATAAAGATAAAAGATAATCTTTCAGTTATCTAGATGAAATAAAAGGATAAAAGATAAAAGAGAATTATTTAAAATAACATTTAAGGTCTGACTCTTGGCTATATTTTTAAAATAACTCTTTTATTTAATGCCTTAAAGTTTTATGGAATATTCTTATTATTCTTAAAAGTAAATAGGTTAATAAATGATTAACAGATGTAGATTAATTTAAATTATTATTTATTATACCTACCTATATTTTAATATCTGTACAAGTAGTGATTACTAAGTGGCCTTACATTATTCATAATTTTTTAAGTAAATTTAATTTGGTTATATAGGTTAACATAAAAAAAAAAGTTTTATGAAGATAATATACTAGTATATAAGAATGTAACATTTGGTTGTACTAGAATTTGTATTAAAATATTTTTTAATGTAATATAATAAATACAAATAATAATAATTAAAATAACATAGTAATTAAAATTTTAAAATACATATAAATGTCATAGTTCACATATTTCAATTATTATTGTATGACAAATTATAAAAAAAGGCTAAATAAAATAATAAAATATTATTTTAATAAAAAAAAAGAACCACTGCTTGATTTAACATCTATTATTTGTAATGATGTGCATCATTTGACTGTAAAAGACTGCACAAATATTTTATTATGTATACTTTTTATATGTCGTTATTTTTAAACCTTTTCAAATAAATAAATAACGGTATCTTCGATACCCGCGCGAATGACACGGGTCGAACAATAAATACTATTGACATCCCTACATTCAAAGGACAGGCCCAAGGTCCATGCCACCACATGTGCCTATATAACAGGGACATACACCACCCTTCACAGAGCTCTTGATCTTAGGTCGTCAGTGCATGCGCACCGATCATAAGATCAACGACGAGCTTATACATGCGATTTGTTTTGACTTATTTAAGTTTAATTTAAATAAAAAAGTATTAAATTATTTTAATTCGTTCGACTTGTGTTCTTGGTACGATTGTTGAAGAGTATCCGGTTCTAGTGCTATTAAATTCTGCATTTGTCCTTTCTTTTTCAACCTCGCGTCGATATCAGAAGGTCTACGGCAAAACAAGTAAGTGCTGCTTTATTTGGTTTGGCAGACTGCATAATTGTGCTGATCGGCTCTCGAACCCTCTCAACCCTAAGATCCCTCCCTTAAACAAGGAGGAAGGTAACAAACCATTAATACCTCTCCCCCATCCCACTCTTCCCATTCTCAAGTTACTTCTCCTATTTTATTTTATTTTTTGTATTTTTAGGTTATTACATATCTATCGACAGAAAAAACGCAAAAAGATAATTAAAGATAAGATAAAGATCTAGATTAAAGATGAAAGATAATTTGGACGTTATCTAGATTATATTTTGGATAATTTTATCTAGATAATCTCAACACTGTATATTACATATTTTTTTTTAAATTACACACATTTAATGTGATATTTGGGACTGGTGTTTTTACATAATTCCTTTCGGTGTGAAACAGTTGAAACAACAATACACAAATCTGGTTTAATATTTTTCTAACGATTTCTACTACTTGTTTTTATATTGTTCAAAGCCGAAAATGCCTGTTCACAAAGATATGATATAGTATCGCTTTGTGAGAAATAGCTATTCTGAAGCTAAGCTTAACCTAAAGGACTCTATGTTATTTTTTTTTACTATTGTATAATATTCGAATTGTAGAACTGGAACTCAAATCAATGAATTCATTATTTTCTTCATTAGTAAGATCAAGTTCATTTACATTGTCTGTGAAATAAAATGGCAACACGACCCAATCTGCAGATGTTGTCAACGCTGGAAAATAATGTTTAATTTTTTCTTCGAGTAATATAAGATGTTCAATTATAAGTTTTTGTAATTAAATAATATTAGATTTTCCCATCGTTAATTTTGAAAATGTTGGAAAATTTAAAAAATCCCCTTTAATTATTGAAGATTTCTAAAATACAATTTTGTTTTTAAACCCTCTGCTTTTATTTGTAGAAG